CCGGCACACTGAGGAGTGAGATGCCCCTGTAGTTGTTACAGTCTGTGCGGTCCCCCTTTTTAAAGAGGTGGACCACCAAGGCATCCTTCCAATACTGCGGAACCCATCCAGTGGTCCAGACTGTTGTTATGATGTCATATAGGGCAGTCTGTGCACAAACGCCACCCTCCCTCAGCATTTCGCTTGGGAGATCATCTCTGCCCGGTGCCTTTCCTGGTCTCAGACTCCGGATCGCCTTCAGTACTTTCTCAACAGATGGCACCTCAGCCAGCCACGCACAGGGGGTGACTTCTTCCAATATTGGAGGCACCGCAGCCTCAGCAGGGTTATCCCCACTTTGTGCCATGATGTTTTCCTGGCTGAGGGATTTCCCCTCCCCCAGGACCTCACAGAAATGATCAGCAAATCTGCAAACCTGTTTCTGGGGATCGGAGATTGGATCATCGTTTTTTCCCCTAATGATGGTAATAGGTGTGGCACTGCAGGTTACTTTTTTGATGGAGTTAAATAGTGATTTGTGATCGCGGGCCACTGAGGCAGACTCCATCTCCTCAGCAACCCGCGACCACCACCCATCCTTGCAGCGCCTTACAGCTCTCCGAACCTCCGAGCGAAGGCTGCGGTAAGCCTCCTCGTTGTCTGACGTGGGATGATATAGCCGATGAGAGTGGGCCTGGCGCTTTTTCTCAACTATCCTGAACACCTCCTCTGTCAGCCAGGGTCTCTGGGGAGGTCTGGACCGCGTACCCAAAGCAGCCATTGCAGCTGCATGAGTCACAGTCCTATACCTCGCCCATTTACCCTCGACATCAGGAGGAGTGGGGGACGATGCCAACCCCAGCTGCAAGCGATGATGAAATTCTCGCTTGCAACTTTCATCAGCTAACTGAGACCAGGCCACTTTAGGTTGGAATGGGGTCCTGGGTGTACACCCACCACCGGAGTGGAAGAATGGCAGGCGCATGTTACAGATGACTAGTCGATGGTCAGAGGGCAGATCAGCTCCACGGTAGGTCCTGGTGTCAAGGACATGGGCTCGCATCTGCTGGTCTGTCACTATGTAGTCCAGCATATGTTCTTGCTTGGACCCGGCATGCATCCATGATGTTGTGTGGATGCGCCGATGCCGGAAGAGCGTGTTGGTTATTACAAGCCCATGGGCTGCACAAAAATCTAGCAGCCTCCTACCGTTGTTATTGAGCTGATCTGGCCAATCCTTCCAATCACTCCAGACCAGGTGCCAGCATCATGACCAACTCGGGCATTGAAGTCACCCAACAAGATGACTGTCCCGAGTGGCCACTTTAGCCAGCACCTGTGACAGGAGGTCATAGAAGGCATCTGACTCATCGGCTTTGCCCGCATCCCTCCACGGATGTTCGTCTACGGTGGGGGCATAAGTAACCACGACCACCACTCCTCGCCTCCGGTTGATGGGAAGGCGAGCCCAAAGTAGCCTGGGGCTTACAGCTTCTCACACCTCACCGCCACGCTCCCACGCCCCCTTCATTCTTTTGTTCAGAAGAAGAGCCACACCCTGTTGTTTGGCAGTCTCCTGCCCCGAGTAGAGGACTGTCCACCCCTCATGGTGGCAGGAGCCAGAACCGGTCCACCGGACCTCCTGAATGCCACAGAGATCCAGGCGGTACCGGTCCAGCTCCCGACAAAGGAGTGGCAGCCTCTCCTCCGCAGTAAGCGTTTGAACATTCCATGTGGCCACACAAAGCGGCTTTTCGTTGTTTCTGGAGGAGCCCCGAGGGTGAAGATTCAATCTCCTGGCTCCGCCAATTGGGGTTTGGCCAGGAGACGTCATAGACGCCTGCCCCCCCGGGGCCTCCGGCACAAGCTTATTAGTTACATATTTATGTTTAAGTCGTGGTTTCGTGGTGATGAATTGAGGGTGGAGGGGATACCAGCCCCTCGCACCCGTCCAGAGCCCCCGTTTAGCCACTGTGGTGGTCACAGACGCCATGAGGGGAGAGGCCAATAGGCATTGGCCCTCCCCCCACAGCACTGCCCACGACAGAGTTGCCCGTCCGGCACCGCGAGGAGGTAGGGGGTTGTTTTGCCGGACTACTACACACTCACTACTACACACTCACTACTACACACTACTACACTCACTACTACACACTCACTACTACACACTCACTCCTACACACTACTACACTCACTACTACTACACACTCACTACTACACACTCACTCCTACACACTACTACACACTCACTACTCCACACACTCACTACCACACACTCACTACACATTTATTGCTACACACTACTCGCTCCGACACTACTCACTACTGTACATGTGCATGTTGAACTTCTTTCACACCGTACACAGCCAACCACTCTTATTGGAGGTACGGGCTGGGGAAGGACAACAAACTGAACACAAAAAGCAGTTCTAAATAAATTAGTTGTCAAGCTAGACAATTTAAACTTGCATCGTTCCAGTGACTTCCTAATATTGGAAGGAAGAGCGTTCCAGACGGCCGCAGAAGCGCGTCTGAGCCAAAAGCCGCTGCAATGAGATGCCAGGAGAAGCACCGATATCGCACTCGGAACCGAATGAATGATGATGGAATGGCACTTCACTGCTAAGCGAAAACCTCACCATGCTGTGTCGGCTATGGGGACCGTTTGACCATACTTGACCACGCTGGTCAGCACGGGTTGGTGAAGGAGTGGGGGGTTCAGAACGGGTTCAGATGTCACTCGCCCCACTGATGTTAGCCGTGGGCGGGAATTGGGTCACCGCTTCAGACCGATCCACACACTACGTCAGAAGGAACGCGTTATTTGTTACATTACTGCACCGTATTCAGTGCTTCGTTTTTTTTTTGCCGGCACAGTCCAGAACCCTCTCTTATGGCATTATTTTATCATCACGATGCGGATATAGTCTTGCCATAATATCGAAATAGAGTGCGCAATAATACTGCAGCACAAAAGTGGTAGTGCCTTACGCCGATAATCCTAATTCCATACGCGATACGGTCTCGTGCACACGCTTCAAATTCGGCAGACGCCGGCAACAAAGCAACGCAATGGAAGTCCCCTGCAGGGCAACGGTGACGTTGATGGATGGACTTGAGAGCCGAGGTGACTGCTCAGATGATTAGAGAAAGCGGCGCGTGTCACCGCTGGACACAAGGCAGATCCGAGACGCCCCGCGCGGCTGTAAACACGCAGAGAGAGCACAGAGAGAGAGCAACGTTCTTGCATTGATGGCGACACAAACAAAGACAACGGTCCCCCGTATAGCCCTTCACAGACTATTGTTAGCGAGCACCTATGAAGACGAGGGAGTGGGTGGCCAGCACCACGCCATTAGTGGCGATGTTTACACACCGCACCAAGTACTCGTTTGAGGTTGAGTCGACCTAGGGGAGGCTCAGGACCGGTTCAGATCATCGTTACTGGTGTCGACCGTGAGCGGGAATCGAACCCGGGTCGCGGGGTTTGTAGCGCAGTGTGCTAACCACTCTGCCACTGATCACCATACAACACACACACGCACCTTATTGACGGCTACGGTTATGATGATTTTGCTAAGTATGCCGTTGATGGTGATGATGTTTGTCGATGATTGCGTTTATGATGATATTTGATGATGACACTGATGAGAATGATGATGATGACTTCGTGACTAAGGCTTTGCTTGATGATGAGTTTGTTACTGTAGATTGACGACGATGTTTGTATGTGCTATGAAGAAGGGCCATTGCGCTGAAACGTCGTTTAACATGGATTTTATTTTAAGGCAGCGTTGTTGACTCGTGTGTTGAGCTTTTTTTCGGGTGGCTAAGGCCTCGTGCTGCTATTGAGTTTGACCGAAATGATTGGGTGACCAAGCCGTTGTTTGATGACAATGACGAACTTGTGACTGCCGCTGGTGATGCCGCTGCTGCTGCTGCTGATGATGATAAAGTTGCATGAACTCTGTCTTTCACGTTGGCGTGCACAAGGCACAAAGGCAATTTTTTTTTAAAACGCAAGGATCATCTCTGCACCCACCTTTGCACCGCGTTCACCAAAGCTCCCAGGAGAAAGTAAAAAATAAAAAGCGAACACGGGCGGTGGGATAAATGTGGGGTTTTTGCCTTCCCACCTCTCATCAACAGAGACAAAGTGTTGCAGTAACATCTCAAAGAAATCCAACAGAAATGACAACTTGACTTTAAATTTGCTTCTATTACAAAACCACCCGCAACGTACCGGGTTGAGCCTGGATATTTGTGTTTTCAATGGTGACCACCATGCACAGCAGGGGTCATCGGCCACTGCGGGGCTGTGATATCTGTCAGCTTATATGTCTGTCTATATGTCTCTGGTCCTGTGTTTTATCTCTCTCAAATGTAGCATTCTCAGGAAGAACGTAATCAACCAGGTAGGGTGTTGACTGTTATGTTATCCGACTCTCTGTTGTATTACATTACATTTCTAAGTATACTAGATTTGTGTTTCTATTTCATTTATACCTGATGATGATTGCTTGTGTTGCAATCGAAACGTCGCATGCTAGTATTTAATTTATTATTTTATCTTTATACGTGACTTTACCGAAAGAACCAAAGAGTAATTCCTGCAGTCACGAAAGCTCCAAATTAAGTTTTTAGCCCGTGGGGTTGAGAGAGCGTGGGGACGCCCTCGTCCACGTGCACGAACAGACACAGAGTCACAAACATGCGTAAGATGTGGTGGTTCTGTTTTCTTATCTCGTGCGGGTTATGCAGAGCAGGCATCAGCGTGCATCAGCGACTCCGTTGTGTAGACTGTGCCGCCGTGCTTTAGGGTTTGCGCTGCGTGTCGTTCAGCGCAATGCCCGACGTTTCGCTCCGCGTGCTAAATTAGCTTCGTCGCAGCACGTGCAGAGCAAAAACGTGGGCAGACAATCACACAGCGAGCAACGCGCGGCTTCAACCGCCGAAGACAACATCGCACGAGGGCGGACAAATTGTCGACTCTAATACCAACTCTGTGCCTCCCACGGCAGTGAACGCCGGCTACCCGGCGATGAGCTACGAGAGCCCGAGCCAGTGCTACGGACCCAACCCAGGACATCCACCGCCGCAGTTTCCGTCCCACTTCTTCAAGCACGAGGAGGCCATCGGGCACCAGCCACAACCTTTCGGTACCCACGCGATTTTGCCCCACACCCACCAACCCACCACCTCTCTCTCTTTCTCTATCCTCTCTGGTTTGTCAGTCGAAATTGTATAACTGCTTGCGATGGGATGCCACGTGTAACTCGTTGCTCGTTTCGACTCGGAGATATGTTTACGATTGCGACGACTGCTATTATGGGCAGGCTGAAAGCTCTGCTTCACATCACGAGGTCGTTTTGGTGGGTTGTTCGATCGCATAGACAACTAGTCGCTGGTTGTTCTAACTGCGGCAAACAACAGCAATGTAAGGCTGCCCCATTTTTCGTGAACGCGTGGGTCAAAGTTATCCAACGTCACGAGTTGAAGTTTGAAGTTTCGGGGGTCGTGCACGCAGCGCGCTATTTTTGCGTGGCACCGCGAATGTTTGCGTTTCTGTATCTCTCAAGAAAGTTCAGTTGGAATAACAAAGATTAGTAAGCACGAAAGATCTGCCCCCTGCATGTGTAATGTGTGTAGCGCTTGTAAGCCAGTGCAGTTAAAAGTGCATACATTGGTTCGTACAAAAGGGGACACGCTGAATATGCAATTGTTTAATCACTAAATAATAATAATAATCGTGTTCTTGCGTATGGCTGGATGAATAGCAACTTATAAGTCTATGTTCAGATAGGTTAGGCAGGAATGGATTGCGTTAATGCCTGGTTTATTAATACCTTTATAATGATACATTTTAACAAACGTTTTGGAAATCCACTGCTCAATGAAGGCCTCCCCACGCCGTTCTGTTTATAGGGTTGGGTTGTTTTAACCTAACTGTTTAACCATACTTCACCACGCAGGTCATTGCAGGTTTGTGATGTTGGGGGGGGGGGGGTCCCTTGACCGGTTCAAATTTCACTTGCCACTGATGTTAGCCGTGACCAGGGAACGAATTTGAGTCGCCGGGTTCCTATAGCGCAGTGCACTCACCGCTGCACCACCGCTCCCGTACCCAATGACTGTACAATACTAGGCTATTACGAATGTCTATTCAAACAGAATGCATTTATTGTAACCACTGTAATATTATATTAAATGTACTGGATATTGTACGTGTCGTAATTTGTAGAGAGACGTTAGCGCATATTCATAGTGCCGTTTGTAGAACACGTAAATGAGTGATCAGCCGGTATTGCATAGGTGGGTTTGAACAAAATTTAGTTTTTAATGTAGTAAAAATAGTAACATAAAAAAACAATTTAAGGGTTACCGAGAGAGACATCTGTGTTTAAGATCATTCAAATCACTTCAAATTACTTTAGACATGGGGCAGTGCCGGATTAAGCTAGTGCAGGGCCTGTAGCATATGTTATAAAGGGGCCCTAAATAAAAAAAAACGTTAATATTAAAACACATACATTTTGAACTTGCATCGATAAGTAATTGTATTTTTTCATTTGCTATACAGCCAGATAATACGACAAATCGCTAATCTTAAACACCCAGTCGTTCATAAAAGTTGAAGGCAGTATAGTACTATAATAATAAAGCAAGTGCAGAATCGCTGAACCGGAATTGATAGATTGAAAGCATTTAGCGCGGGGCCCTTGAAAGTGCGGGGCCCGTAGCTACTACATGTGTAACTACTACATATGTAGCTACTACATGTGTAACTACTACATATGTAGCTACTACATATGTAGCTACTTGTGTAGCTACTTTTGCAGCTACTTGTGCTATTGGGATAATCCGGCACTGACCCGGGCGGTCGGCAACACGCGGTTCTGGGTCCGCATGCGGCTCTTTAAGGCCCGCGTTGTCACGTGATGTACGTGTGTAGTATGCATATACACGCATTGCGGCTCTTGAAATATTGAGTTTTGTACCGAATAAAAAAAATGGCTCTTCTTGTTATTTCGGCTGCCCACCCCTGCTTTTGCGTTGGGAAATTATTTAAAAAAAATAATTGTTATATAATAACCTTTTTATATTAACCTTAAGTAGTGTTCGACCCGTTGTAAAAAAAAAATCGCCCAACTCGTTTCTAAACATACACGATTATTAAGTTTAAATTTGCAATTAGGAAACCGATTCCTTACGGACACCACTTATTTGTTTGTATTCGCAAGCCAAGCTACTAACACCAATAACAATCTGGGTACATATTGTGTGCGATCCGAGACGCGTGTTACGCTGTGGACACATTACACCTGTAAGCCGCTCCTGTTGTTACGTTTAGGTTTTAGTTTTCGTTGCTGTACAACATTACATCCGATTTTAGATCGAATCGGGAGATATTTTGACTTTGTAGTTAAGAGAACATAGCGTACACTGTGGAGCCCACTACAGTATTTGATGATTTGCCCCGCATACGATTCGATTGTCTCAATTTGACATCGCGATTCGATTCAATAACACGGCTGGCTACATTACGTGTTTGTTTTTTTTGTATAACATCGCAACTCAGTGAAGCGCTTCTTATGGATGCGCAAAGGTCCCGTGAACGAATTGCAGGTTTCCCTCGCTTTGCGCGGGTTTCGGTTTGTGCGATTTTTGCGCTGCTTATGCGGATAACATTATTCCACCCAAAATTAACTCCACTATGCGGTGTAAACTCACACGCGGTCGGACCTGGGGCAACATCGTGGTACTGGTGTGCGCTACTCGGCAGGCAGCTCTCTCGTGGGGTTTTCCTTTTGTGCGTCCGTTGTTTTTGGAACGCATCTATCGCCGGGTCTGCTCGCTGAGTTGAGGCCTCCCGTGTGTGTGTGTGGCTCTATGTGTCTATGTGTGTGTGGTTCTGTGTTTGTGTGTCTGTGTGTGTGCGTCTGTATGTGTGTGGCTCTGTGTGCGTGTGTCTGTGTGTGTGGCTCTGTGTGTGTGGCTCTGTGTGCGTGCAGTGGTAGGGTAGCGGTAAGTGCGCTGCGCTACGAAACCGGCGACCTGGTTCGATGCTCGTTCGCGGCCAACACCGGTGACGATTATTACCGGTCGTGGGCCTCCCCTAGGTCGACTCAACCTCAAAATGAGTACCTGGTGCGGTGTGTAAACATCGCCACTAGGAAGACAAATGCGGCCGGGCGGGGTGCTGGCCACCTATCCCCTCGTGTGCCGGTGAAGACTTTACGGCGGATATTTGTCTTTGTGCGCAGCACCGGAGCAGCAGTTCTCCATGGCGCCCATGTACGCGTGCCACGGCTCCCCCGAGATGAGCTGCGCCTCCAGCCAGGCCATGCGTCTCAAGAACTCCTCCGCCTCCTACAACGGGTGCGTGTGCGTGCGTCTGTGTGGTGCTGTGGGGAGCGGTGGCGCCGCAAGTGGTGATCGGCACTGCGCTACGAAGCCGGCTAAAACCGGGCTCGTCACGGCCAACGTCAAGTGACGAATATCTCAACGAGTCCCGGGGCTTCCACGGAGGTCGACTCGGCCTTAAAGGCGTCCCTGGTGCAGTGCGTAAACATCAGTATGGGGAGACAAAGGCGGCCTGCCGTGGTGCTGTTTGGCCATCCGCGCGTAGGCATTGTTAATAGGCGCTCGCTAACAGCACTCGCCCCCGCAGAGTCCGTTAAAGGCTACGACGGTGATGGGGGAGGGAAATCCTGCAACGCACTAATTGGCAGGCGTCGTAGACACGATATTAAGTGCCAGTGGTCTTTGCATCGTTTGGTATCGCTGCTCCAATACTGTGAATGAATAAGCAACACGCGCAATTGTGTTTTATTGTTATTACTGTATTATTGTTATTGTTATTATCACCACTGAGTGTCGTGTTGTGTTAACTGCCGCGTGCTTGAACTGTGCTGGTTAAAGTGAAATATTGCGAGATGGGTCCCGCGCCCGGATCGTGTTTACACGCGGGTTACCCTCGATTCCTTCTCGTAAAAATTACATCGTAAACTTTTACTGTGTTCGCAATAGAATACCAGCCGGCAACATTACATCAATAACGTCCATAAACAGCCCCCGGCCACTGCGCTACAACTCGCCGTCTGCGCGTCTTGGCAGCGGTGCAAAGCGAACGATCTTTGATCGACCGATCGATCGTGTGATCCGGATTATTAAGACCCACCCCTTAACTTGTGCCCGGTGGCAATAATGTCATACACATCTAGTCACACACAACACACACCTCGACCGGATTATAAGACGCTATACCAACCTTTGTGCGTCGTATTATCCGAAGATTATGGTAAAAAAAATATCCGCTATTTAATAGTGGGTCAAACCCTTTAAATTCTAGATTTTTATTTTCTAAACAGCGGCAATGGTTAATAACGATCACGGATACATTGTACATACAATATCTGTACGGATCAATGCATGCTTTGTGCGTGAATTGTGTTACTATGTTTGCACAGCAACTTCAGTTAAAACGTTTTCGTGGCGTGTACATGTGACTGGATGAGCGTGCGTGCGTGTGTGCTAAATATCGGCAATGGGGAGACAAAGACGGCCGGGCGTGGTGCTAACCACACCGGCCCTTCGTGAGCCATTTCTGGCTCTCCATCGGAGTTCGCTAGCAGAACTTGCCCCAAAAGTCCCTCGGTTACAGGGATGATAGCCTTGCCTGTGTTACACCACGGGGAGCGGTGGCGCAGTAGTTAGCGCACTGCACCCCGATCACGTCAACTATGGCGGGTTCGATTCCCGCTCGTGCCTAACACCATCTGAACGTCGTATCCGAACCCGGGTCCTATGCAACCGCTAAGTCGACTCAGCAGTAAATAAGTAGACGTTGCCATTACGCATCAGTGCTCGGGAGACAAGGGCGATCTGGCGCGGTGCTGACCGCACACACCACAGCGCACATCACTTTGGCCAGCTGCCTGTGGCTACTCTGGGGTAAGGGGCCGTCCATAAATGACGTCACGCACCTGGGGGGGGGGGGGGTTGAGAAATGTGACGTCACATCAAAATGCGCAACTTGAAATAAATGTAGACAACACGTTCTACTTAATTAAATAGACTTTCTAATGTTTTATTCTACAACGTCAGAGTGCAGCGCCATATTAAATACGCATTGGAATGACAACAGTTTAAAGCGATTTGAAGCATGTTTTATATATTTTGGGGGGGGGGGGGGGGCAGAGCTTTGTGACGTCATATTGGAGGGGGGGTCTGACTCTTTGTAACGCCGTGTGACGATGGGGGGGGGGGGTAAAAATCGTCCAAAATCGCGTGACGTCATTTATGGACGGCCCCTAAGGAGGGATCCGTTGTGAGTAACCCTGCGCTGTTCTGCTTCGCAGCCACCACGCCTCTGGGTACAGCACGGACGCCACGAGCAGCCAGTTCCTCTACAGCACCCAGTACCGCGTGTGGACCCACGGCATCCAGGTGAGCGAGTGAGGAGCGGTGGCGCAGCGGTTAGCGCGCTCTGCGTTTTATTTCTCGAGTAATATTTGACCCACCCCAATCCGCCGTCCCCCCAGGTTGACACTTTGTCCCAACAGTCTGTAAGGCTGCACGGGGGAAATCCTATATCGTGTTTTTTATTGTAGCTTTATGACCACCCCTCGCCCCTCCACCCCATATTGGACATCTCTGAAAAAGAGCTTCACGGCTTCATCGGATTCCTCCAGTCGATATAAATAAAAAAAATCTGATTCTCATCAAGATTCTGATGTATCTTTGTACACGCACTAAAGTGTAAGATCAGCTGCACGCTGACGGAATTACGGCACGGAACAATTTGCAAACAAGCAAACGCATTCGAGGTGCTTTGATTACTCGACATTCTCACAGCCGTTCGGTGTGCTACATTAAAGAGGCAATTCCGTGGCCGATATTCCTGCATTGCTCTTGTAATTCCGTTACCGCGCAATGTGTACTGTATACAGTATACAGCAAGGCCGTAATTAGAATAGATATTGGGGGGGACATCCCCCCCCCCCCCAATATTCAAATATGCTCAAAATGTCCCCCCCAATATATTGCTATAAAATAGATTTCTGTTAAGATGATTGTGGTTATGGTTGTACTTTATTAATCCCTAATCTCTGCCATTACATACAATGAAACAAGAAAAGGTAAAAAAAAGAAAAAACAGAGCACTGTAATACAATACACTACTAGACATTATTGTAAAAATAAAATAAAAAGTCCATCCCATGTGTTAGTGAATTTTTTTTATATTTATGCAGGAAATGGCAGGAAATTCGTTTTTAATTTTAGATTTTTTTTTCTGGGGGAGGACCCCCAGACCCCCTGGAAGATTTGGTCCCCCCCAATGTTGACTCCATGGCTACCGCCTTGGTATACAGTACTGTATACTTCATCTAATTCTGTGGTTCTTAACGCTTTACTGCAGTCTTGCACTCCTTTGGTTCTCAATAATAATTTTTTTTATAATGTTCATGCATACAGGGCATAGGTTTGACGAAACAAAGCAGTTGGTCTTACGTGCTGAATTTGTGTTTTGATTATTTACCTTCTAAAAGAAGAATCTGGCCATGATGGTCTCACATCCCCAGAAGGGGCATCTCGCACCTCCAGGGGGTGCAGAAGAACCACGCTCATGGAGTTTATTCCGCGTCTCCGTTAGAGAATGCAGATCGGCGCTGTCTCAGTAATCCCTCGCCTGCTCAACGAACTCATTTCGCTCTGGCTATGAGCGCTTTGGGAACACTCTCGACGGCTTTGGCAGTAACCGCTGCTCGCATCCGTGGTGCCCTGAGGAAGCGGGCTTCACCAGTTCACATCAAATTACAATCGCGGCTGTTGATGGCGAGGCAGTCTGCCAGGAGGGCACCGAGTGAAAGCTTCATGTAATTGTTCTCTGAAAGCGAGGAACAAATGATAATGGGGGGGGGGGGGGTGGTTGAGAAAAATGCAACCGCCGTCACCTTTCCAAGTATTTCTGTGTTGAACAACAACGACAACAACAACGCCCTTTTCCGAGAGGTTATTTTTTTCTTCTCGAAAACACCGCGTCACGCGCTCTTTCGTGCGTCGTGACATCCTGGTGCCATCGTCATTGCCTTGGGGCGAAGCTTCTGGAACCTTCGGGTGATTGGGCAGGGAGGTGGTGCCCAGAATCGCAGATGAAACCACCTGGAACGCCGCTCCGGGAATTCAGAATCAGAATGTTTATTTGGACTGGAGGAATCCGATGAGCTATGAAGCTCTTTTTTACAGATGTCCAGAAAGTTACAACAGCAAACAATAAAAAAAAAAACGCTAGGAGTGCAATTTCTAAGACTGGCGTGCAAGTCAGTGTATATAAATCCACATTGTATTACCATTGTATTCTTCCCACAGAGACCCACATACTCGCATAGGGAGCCATAGACTCACATAGAGACCCACATACTCATATAGGAACCCATACACTCACACAGAGAGCTGTCTCGATGAAATAAACACACCCACTGTTTATGCGCAACGCCTTGAGGTGTGGTTGCATTAAGATGCTCCATTAATCCACATTGTTGTTGCATTGCATAGTAATGACGCACACTCACAGCCTCACATAAGGGACACACAAACTCACACAGAGACCCATAGACGAACATAGAGATAGACGGGGGGCACCCTTAGACTCACAGAGAGACGTATGACTGACCACCTCTCCGATTTAAAAAAAATTTCGCTCCCCAAGTTTCTGCACAGCGTCTTGAGACGCTACCTAAATCCTCGCTTGACTGCGATTTGTAACAATCGCCTATGTCGGCTGCCCCCCCCCACCCCCCTCTTTGCTTCCCTCGGCGTCGTCTCTAGCAAGGGATGCGCCGCGTGTCGGGGGCCGCCAGCGGCGCCCTCACCCAGGCCGTGGGGGCTCCGTCCGGCCGGGGCCGTGCCGACAGGAGGCCCTACATGTGCAACTACCCGGGTTGCAGCAAGCGCTACTTCAAGCTGTCGCACCTGCAGATGCACTGCCGCAAGCACACGGGTCAGTGCTCCTCATCGCGAGTGGCCCCCCGGGCGGCCTTTCGTGCGGCCCCTGAAAAGTGCCCCCCCCCCCCCCCACTTCACCCCACCAACAATGCACAAATGTGAAAACAATCCACGTAGTCGTCGTGATGTCAAACCCCCGACGGTGTGGCGGCCCTCACGCCGACGTCTTGTGGCTTATCGGCGAATGTGCCCCCCCCCTCCCCCTCCGCAAAAATTGAGTGAAGAACACTGACACATGTGAACGTGCGCCTCGACGTTGTGAGACGTTGTGAGATGGTGGCGCCAGTCACGTATGTATATGCGTGTACGTTGAACTTCGTTTTCACCGTACGTAGCCAACCATGCGTACGTAGCCAACCAATTGGATGTGCAAAAGAAGATAAACTAAACACATAAAGCAGTTCTTAGGAAATTAGTTTTCAATCTAGATGTAAAAGTGCATGGCTCCAATGGCTTGCTAATATGGGAAGGAAGAGCGTTCCAGACGGCCGCAGAAGCGCATCTGAAAGAGCGCGATGCAGTGACCGTCTTTTTTCAATGGCTCGGCAAAAGTCGCTGTGAGGAGGACTCAGCTGTGGTTGCGCGTGTGTCCTCGGGAAGGGTTTCCACCTTTGAGATGCACACACGCACAAGACAAAATATCACTTGCAGAAGAAGAATATCTCACAATGCCAGAAAAGTGAAGGATTACAGGACGTGCAAATGCATTGTCTTGAGCGGTGTTTTACAGTATTACACAACATACAAAGACTTGTTCTGCTAGCGCTCAAAAAGGGGACGATGCTGATAAAAGTAGAACAGGTACAGGCGTGCAATGCTAATACTGGGATAATTCAGAGGTGCGATGCCCTGGTAAATCCGTTCTTGTAACAAATCTCCATAATTTCCATGCAGACCAAATTGAGCCCATTTACAGCGTGCAATGTAACTGACATTCATTTAATATAGCGAAATTCATACTAATTGCATCACATAACGCTGTACATTAATTATATGAGGACCAAATGATACATACAGCTACTACCACGTAAGTGAATACCCGACTACCAAGCAAAAGTAAAAATGACTTTTTATGTTATAAAAGTGATAAAAAAAGCAAATATCAAAGTTTTTTAAAAATAAAAATCCTCACTGAAACCACCAAAAATTACAAGGCAATGCTGGAACTCACGATCCACTAAAGCAGTCGTTCCCGTGCAGTGCGGCACTAAACGTGCGTGGAGGCCCGCTACAGCGTGGGGATGCAGCAAACAACGAGTCGAAATTGCTCTGCACACCGGTCCATTTTTTGCGTCCCTCCAAAAACCACATTACATCCGAAACACGGTATTTAGATATGTATATCACCGCTCACGCTATTTTGAGGACACAGCGTAGATAGCGAATATGTTCGTGCTTCGGAGGTAAGGGTTACTCGTGCACTGGTGCGTGACTGTCACCGACGTTTGAGACGTTCACCCAAGTGACGGTGACAACCACGCTGCCGATCGTTGGTGGCTAATGAGAGCTCCGTCTGCGGGTGCAGGGGAGAGGCCCTACCAGTGCGACTACAAGGACTGTGGCAGGCGATTCTCTCGCTCCGATCAGCTCAAGAGGCATCAGCGAAGGCACACAGGTGAGCAAGAACTCGTGGGGTAAAAACACACGGCATCAACACAATCATTGAACCCAACTCTTAACAGCAGTCGGATCATCGATCATGCACGTGTGGTTTCTTGAATGCTGTCCACGTACAGTTGAACGCGTGCACGCAATTATCTCTGTCCTGAACAGCCGGGGGCACGGACGGGGGCTCTGTAACTCTCATCAAGATGATCCAATGTAAACTAAACTTTTAGCATCAAGATGCGTTGCTATCGGCGGTCAAAGTGGATCAAAGCGTTGGCCAAAACTTTCGAGACACAACCCAGAGCAAAAAAAAAAATCTATTCGCAAATATGCAAAAAAAATTGTCCTGATCATGATTATGTACCTCCCAAAACAAACGAACGTTGGAAAGCGCGCAACATAATCCATACGTATGCGCGATTTTTTTTCCTATACATTTTTTTGTTCCATGATAAATTGGTGATGGCAGGACTACAAGATGTTGACAAACACGGTGGTGTACGCACACTGGAATTTAAAGACCCCGAAGCCAAAGTTTCCTCTGTATCAGAGCGAACGGAACTGAATGTGCTGTTGACATATCGGGGCAAATGCCACTGATGGGTGCCTCATGTGGAGCAAACGCGTAAACCCGTGAAGGCTACAGTGCCCTCTCGGATATAGCCATTGCTACACAAATGAATCTAGTGCAGTGAGCATGGATGAAAATATCTATAACTTGAATTTTAAAACGATACGCTATATTCTCAGTTTTAAAGGTAATTTTTAAAAAAAAACTGGCATGGCACAAACGCCGCGGTGATATCACCGCCACTAAATGACGAACGGCGGTTGTTGTTGTTGTTTGTGAGTCTGCAGCGCGATGATCAGTCCATTGCATTACGATCCCGGAGTTTGAATCCAGAGCACACGCGACATGACGGTGTCTGAAGCTATCCTGACCCTTAAATGAGTGCCGGTGTTGTGTGTAAACCTCAGCACTGGAGAGACCATCGAGGTGGCTGGGTGTGGAGCTGGCCACACCGCCCACGTGTGTGGCAGGCCAGCTTGAATAGGCGCTAACTAGCAGCACTTGCCGCATCAGCCGATGTCGGCTACAGGGGAGGACATGTGATATTAGCCTTTGTGTTTGAGCTGGTCACACCACCCAGTTGCATTTCCTGGCAGCATAATCGGAGCTCACGAACAGTACTTGCCCCTCCATGCTACAAGGCTTACAGTGGCAGATATTTCAACCAGCTCTGGGCCTCCCCTAGGTCCACTCAGCCTCAAATGAGTAACCTGGTGCAATGTATAAACAATGCCGCTAGGGAGATAAATGCGGCCGGGCGTGGTGTTGGACACCCCACCCCCTTGTGTGCTGTGGTGGTCTTCATAGGTGCACGCTAACAGCACTTGCCCCAACAGTCTGTTAAGGCTACACGGGGGGGGGGATCTTTTGTCTTTGTTGTGTGTCACAGGGGTGAAACCATTCCAGTGCAAAATGTGCGATCGCAAGTTTGCCCGGTCTGATCACCTGAAGACCCACACGCGGACTCATACAGGTAAACCAAGTGCGTACTTTTATCTTCTATTCCCCTTGAGCACATTGCAGACACTTCGCTGAATCGGAATGCTGTACCGCAGAAGCTGGATATAAGCACACCCCTTGGAGCAAAGTCAGCCGAAGTAGGGTGCTGATATCAGAAGTTTATCTTTGCCTTCACCCCCCGACCAATGTAATGTAATCATGTGTTGCTTCTATCAGTTTCAAAGACAATGGCAATATATTATCAGAGTATGTTTTTTTTGTTTTTATTCTGACCACAATTATTGTGGTTAATGCAGACATGATTCCTTGTAAAAGATTTCAGTTTGGTGTTTTAACATCTCAACACCTGTTTTGTTGCCAGAAAAAAGGGGAAAACCTATTCTCACATTTTGGTATTGGCAAAGGAGGTCCCATGATATTTGAGAACTGTGCTTAAATCCAGCTTCTACTGAAACGTTGTAAATATTGTAAGGATTAGGTAACACACTTGTTATAGGTTGTATATCAACACGATGCAAATTCAATGTGAACAATATGCACGTCTTTTTATTTAACAGGTGGGCTTTCGCGACAAAATCGATTATTCGTAATCGATTATTCGTAATCGATTATTCGTAATCGATGTTTCGTTCAGATTGCACGAGGAGTAAAAGCCAGTGTGCGTTGTACAACCCTCCTCCACCCGACGCAGCCAAACAAATAAAGTTCTTACGTGACGATCAAACGCGCCACATGTTTGTTTTTTATTGCTTCAGCAAACCCACGTGTTCGAGAGGAACCCCACAAAAGTTAAACTTCTAAAGATGGTCACTGCGTTGCGTGCTGTCAGATTCGCTTCTGCGGTCGTCTGGAACGCTCTTCCTTCTGATATTAGGAAGCCACTGGAGCAATGCACTTTTCAATCTAGATTGAAAACTCATTTCTTTAGAACTGCTTTATGTGTTTAGCTTGTTGTCCTTCCCCCGCACCTCCGATTGGCACGGTTGGCTACGTACGGTGCGAAAGAAGTTCAACACACATAGATACAGAACCTCATTGGAGCGTCGTACCAAATTGTTAAATATTTTGGATAACTCTTCAATATGAGTGATGTGCTGAAGCAATACAAATTGGCGTCCTTTGCTCACGTGACGACATTATTTATTTGGCTGTGTTAGGTGGAGGTAGGGTGTACAACACACACATTAGCATTGTACCCGCGCAATTTGACCCAAAACGAATTTTCGATTAACGTGCAGATAGTTTGTATGTATGTGGAACTTCTTTCGAACCGTACGTAGCCAACCGTCATAGTAATTGTATTTATCGAGCGTATTAGGGTCACGGTGACATGGCAGCACTGCGATATATTGTACAATATAAGATCGTCGGTAATCGCATCGTCCGTGTTTCAGAGTATCGTTATTGTTGTTACTGCCGTTTGTTTAACTTTTCGTAGTACTGTATTTCCTTTCCTCGAAAAATATTTATGGAATCACAATTAAAGTCCACAACAACAATAATAATAGTCCGAACAAAACAATTCAGTGTTTTATAATAATAAAAATTTTTTGCCAGAGTGCACGTCATTGAAAAGGTCCCATTATCGTGTCTGTAGAGCAATTCGTTATTTTATTATTGAGTAACTGACATAACTGCGCTATAGATTGTAAGTCACAATCATTCGAAGACTCATGATGGGCTTATACTCAGTGAACTGCAGTTGAACAACGTCAAAGTAATCTTGAATTCGTACTCGAAGTACAGTACGGTGAAGCACAAAAACAAAATGATAAAATGTAAAATGCATTTACAAAGTTCAGGGAAACTGATAATGTGATAGTCTCCATATCGTGACATTTTATATTGTATACATGTTATCGCAGCAAGCCTGCGATATCGTGTGTATATATATAATTTATATAAATCCATATGAATATAATAAGATATAGTATACTTACATTTAGTTTAAATAACGTGTAAACGCGCTTTTATGTTTACACGTGAATACAATGTAGGAATGTATTATATATGATAACCAGTAACTAATCGTGGGTTCACGCAGATGAATGGCCTCTTCTTAATAAGAAAAATAATTATTATTCTTAAATTATAATTTACATTGGCAAGGCGCATTTCCTCCGTAAACCCCAATGCGCCGCTGTGTTTGTAAAGCCAGGAAATAAACAGCGCCAGGGTAAGGGGCCACAACTGTGGGGTAAAGGCCAGTTTAAAGGGGTGAGTTTTCAAGACGGCCCTTAAATAGCTCCAAGCGACTCCAGGTTGCCTTACTACCAAAGACAAAAACAAACGTTCCACAGTCTGGGAGCTGCACTGGCAAAAGGCCGATCACTCCAGAGACAGAGCCTTGACATCAGAGTACTTAGAATAAGTACTCCGAGGTAGTAGTACCGTGGAGGTTTACATTTGCTATCGGTGAGCATGTAAGTACGACTTAATTTTCGATTCGAAGCTTTCGTGACTGCAAGGATTCACTACTCTTTGTTTTTTTTTCGGTAAAGTCACGTAGGTTAAAAGAAAACAAATCAATTAAATCACGACGTTTCGGAGGCAACACAAGCTTCCGTCTTCAGGTGAAACCGTCACAGCAAAATGTATTTGTTTTACTTTAACCTACGTGACTTTACCGGAAAAAAAAAACAAAGAGTATAAGTACGACTTCGTTACTTCCGACATTGTGAGGGCAACGCAAAATGACTATGGGTATGGGCGCTGTGCTACGTTGCGAGCAGTCGAAGGCAGTACAGAAACATCCATTGTTCTACCTGTACCATGCTCCAACGTCTACACTTCCTACCTGCACCAACCCGCACTAGGCCAGCGTGGTGAAGTATGGTCAAACGACCCTCGTGACCGGCACGGTGCAGGAAAATTCCCGATCAGCAGTGGATTGCCGAAAGGGCTGTACACTCACCCCTCCACAAGAACAACCACCATTCGCCTCGAAGTGGAGATGACATCATTCCAGCACTTGCGCCAGGCTAGGGGCACTTCGAAGTGTCACAGGCTCCCTGGTCACGTGGAGTGTTGAAGGCTTCCTGGCACGAGGTCACGAGCCACTCCCAGGAGTTACGGCTTAACCGACTGACTTGAAACTGGCAGGTGTATCATCTGTGCGCCCCACTCGTGCACACTTTGCGCAGCTTCTAGAGTAGGAAGATGTTATCTCCCTCGCCTCATACGCAGGCGATCTCGTAGGTTTGATCCTAAGCCCGAATCCTGTATATTTGGAGTTCGTGTGTTCTCTCTCTCTCGAGTAGTCACGAGGAATTTTCTCTGGGTCCTCTGTTTCCCCCCCCCCCCTCCACATTTAGAATCAACATGCGGTCAGAACATTAAGCTGCTGCTATAAATTCCAACACGATGAGCGACTTCGTTGAAGCAATCGTTTGCGGCCAGGTCGCCTCTTGAAAAGAGCCGATACCTGGCAAATGTAACAAAAAATATATTTGTTTGGTTCGTCTAACGCTGCCCGGACTCCCCTCTGCTGCGTGTGTCACTGCTGCCTCTAGGCGAGAAGCCCTTCGTCTGCCGCTGGCCAAACTGCCAGAAGAAGTTCGCCCGCTCCGACGAACTCGTGCGCCACCACAACATGCACCAGCGCAACGTCACCAAGCTGCAGCTGCCCATCTGAGAGGGCCCCGGGGAAAGCGGACAGACCGTTCCCTCGCAATGTCCCCAAGCGAGAAACCCCGTGCGAGGTGCCCAGCGAGGAGGGGAAATCTCCTTCACCACGGCTACCTGGAAGACGACGGAAGGTGCAAGGCGGAGCCCCCGTTGGGTCGGCCTGCACGCCACCTTTTTCGGAAGTTAGTTTTTGTGCGTTGGTGTCAATGAATTCGGATGAGTTGGGGCAACGACCCCCCCTTGCCCCCACCCCCCACGGCAAAATGATTTGTCTCTCACGGCTGTGCTCCCCACTGGGGGGTTCAGGTGCAGCGGTGAAGGGAGACGGTGTCCTGTCCAACAGTAGATAAAATATATATAATGTTACAGCTCTTTGTCAGTCCACTGCTGGATGAACACCTTCCTCACGCCGTGTCGGTCATGGGAGTTGTGTGGCCATACTTTGTGACGCTGGTCCGTGCTGTTTGGTGAAGAGGTGTCGGTGGATTGGGGGGGGGGGGGTGGGGGTAGGGGTGGAGGGTTGGAGGCAGAACCGGTTCAAATATCACTCTCCACTGATGGTAACTGTGGACAGGAATCCAGCTCAAGTAAGCGGGGTTCACACCACAGTGCGCTGACCACTGCACCACCACTCCCCCCCCCCTCGCCCCCCACCACTGTTAGATTTGGCCATCACTCACAGATGATTGACTTTCAAATAAATTCTCTGGGAATTTCCACTGGTCCCATGATGCCACTTTGTGGCTTGGTTCACCGTGCAGTGAGCACGTCTTTGCCTCTGTTGGGTCTCATTCCAGGGCATGAGTGTGATCAACAGCTTCGCGTCTCTGCCGGAGCATTGTAAATAACAACACCTGCGCGTGCATGATTACCGCTCCTGTCGTGACAATGGTTTTGTGTAGACGTCATCTTCTCAATGAAACCCCCTTCCGAGTTTGTTCGTCACGTTTTTGGATCCGGGAATCTGTGAATTCTTCCTGTGGAATCTCTGCAGTGTTGTTGTTTTTTTGCCGAGGTGGGCGGTTTCTGTGTTTAGGGCGATAAACATTTGCTCTGTTAACTGGATTAGTAAACTTTCACACGTCAGCCGAAGCAGCAACCTCAGCAGTTATGCAGCATGTGCGTAATCCTCCGTGTATACAATGTGCGTGTCGGAACCTTCTTTTTTGAGCAACGCATATTGAGTCGTTTTCTCTTTAATGCGTCGTTCTGTAGTGGAATGTCCGTTGGTGTCTTTTTGTCCTTTCCTTCATAGGCAGTTCATTGTCTTCTGTGTAGGACACACAACAGTGCCGTGTGTTTGGCATAAAGCTATGATAACACTTCCTGTAAATGAACAAAGGAGCGCCAATGTGCGCTGTGGCTATAACGGTCCGAGCGAGCGGCCGTTTGACCTTACATCGTTTCTCCCGATCTCTTGTGCTCGCTACAAAGTAGCGCGACCGTGCTCAGCAGAGGGCACTGCAAAAGGAATATGAAGCAATGCGCTATCGGGGCCGATAGAAATACTCGGAAGGTGGCCCTTCGCTTTGTAGAAAAAATATATATATTTTTTGCACATCGACAGCACTACACTTTTAAATTATCAGACACCGCGAGTTTCATTTACCTGACGTGTTGTAACAACGAGAAGTTGTCGTGCGCTTGTTTGGCATAGCAAGAGAATGGTCACTTTCGTGGCTTTCCGTTGGCCCCGGTCACGATGCACATTATAGCTGCCGAGAGATAAATTGTCCCTTAACGAAGTTATTGGTATGGCAAGCATGACCCTAGATTCCAAGCGAAAGTCCCACACCTGCAAAGCATTACTATTGGAATGTCCATCCCGGGCACAGTGGAAGGATGAGTTGGAGGAATGAGGTATTTGTGCTATGGGAATTTATGCTCAATATTACACAATTGACGTCGCTGCTGTGTGTCCGTCATTGAATAGTCGTATACGACGCACATCAATTGTACGCATCGTAACAGAAAACGGGTCACGACGTGAATGCGGTGTTTTGTTGCGATGCATTTGATTGGTGCACGGGAACTGACACGGCCACGCATGTGGAATTTATTGCCTGAGTCTGTCACCCACGCGCGGTTAGTGCTCACCAATCGGCACGGTTCGAGATGGCTTCGGTCGGTGTTATTCCAGAGTGTGCAGCGGTACACAGGAGTGGCCGTGTGGGCCCATGGGCCCGAGCACTGAGTCGGCATCACTGAGAGCCGCCTGGGTGGGTTTGAATCCTGGTAGCCACCCATGATTTGAAGCAGATCCTCAAGTGTAATGCGTTGATGGTCGCAGCCTGGCATCATTGACTACATTTGGTCGTGCACTTAATTTGACAAAATTAATTAACAATATCAGTTTGACTTCCACACCATGAACATTTCTCTGTACGTGGGGAAAAAAAGTTCAGAAGTAGTGCTGTGATATCTACTTCTGCAGGCCATTCTCAATGACGGGGCGATGCGCTGCTTTGCGAGATTTTCCTAATGGACACGTAGCCTCATGACAAGGTGTCGTTGCACAACTGGAATAAAAAGTAGTAGAAGTACAACATAAACGTGAGTGTGTGGCAGAAATGTTGCCACCTCTCAACCTGGCAGCTCCTCTCGACCAGGGCTTCTAGACTTCGCGACCTACCACGGGAACACCTTTCTTGTGTTTACCAATCTTCGTGCAAGCACAAACCAGGGTCGAGTTGCACACCGTGTGCACCTCACGGTTTGCCGCATCAGGATACGTGGCCAGTTTCTGACTTCGTGTTCTATAAACACGACGCGGTAATATTGCGATAAAATCACTGGAGACAATTCTGGCTTTTTAGAAAACAGCTTTCAATAGAGGCAGACTTTCTACATTGTTTGCCTGTCCACATGTTAAACGTTTTGTTGCTTTGTCTCAATGAGCTCTGATGTGTTTATAAAGTCCACGCGTAGATGCACCCAGCCGATGCGAGCCCTTCTTATGGACGGGGTGAGCGTTCATCTAAGCCATAACGCTGTATAAAACGAAACTGCGTTGCATGAGTGGCCTGATGCCTCACGACGATTCTCCCCACACCACTTTGAACCTCGTCAATTTGGTCCAATAACCCAGATTACCACCCCCCCCGAATAAAACTCGCATTGAAACTGCGTACAAACGATGGACACAAAACAGCAGCCACGTACTTTACAATAAGTGGCACTGCAGTGCACGAAGAAGAGCCAGGCGAATGTCCCGTGTGGCTCCCCCCCCCACCACCACCGTGTACATCCAGCCCTGGGTCAGGCTGCAGATCGAGTTGAACGCGCAACGCACGGGTCTTGCGCGTGACCCGTTCTGGTTAACGATGCACCCAGCCAAGTGGTGATGGCTGTGTTATTGATGTGGAGGTCGCACTTACAGAAGAACCTCCTGATCCTTGGCCCGTTTAAATCGTTTTCTGCCGTAATGTACCGCATTGGTGAGTGATGATGATGATGTTATTATTTTGAGATGTCACAGTATATGCCGTGTGTAGATTGCACGCAATTCACGGGCTCGTCGCACTGGATGGAATTTTTACGTTGTGCCCGGAATATTTCTGCTCTTAACAAATGGACGAATTGTGATTGCCGAAATAAAATCGCAAATTGAGGGCATCGTTAATGGTACCAGGATCCATTACATGCGTCGTTTAGGAAGAAATGTTTTTCCATAAATGTCCACCTTTTGCTTGCTCACCCATTCATATTTACCAGCGGCAATCAGACTGGAACTTATATCTGTTGTGCACATGTGCAGCCATTTGTGTCGATCCACTGCTGGATGAGGGCTCCCCCACTCCGTGTAGGTCGTCGCGGGTTATTTGACCATACTTCACCACTCTGCTCAGTGCATGTTGACAAAGGGTTGCATCATTAATCCAGGTAATGTCCCTGAACGATAACGGTGCATTGTTGCTAAATACACCATGACAAAAGATGCTGATGGATTGTATTTGTTAGTATCAATGCACTATCAGGTTTTTTTTTGCCCAAATATTATCCTCACATTAATCTTGTACCATTCTAGCATTGACAAAATTAGATAATAATAATTATTATTATTTCAGTTTGTAATGCACCGGCACAGCCCAGAGGCATGAGGGACCACGAAAAAAACGTGGAGGCAGCAGCAGCCACGGCGGTGAGCCAGCTCCAACAATTGCCCAAGTTCTGAGATCCTCTATATGTTGTGTGATTGGCCAATTAAATGAGATTGTGATTAAAATCTGAGCACTGCTTTAGTTGTATTGTTCTCGATGTATTAATGCGTTGATAGAATTCATAGTATTCAGCAGCATTTGAAAACCGACATTACAATATTAATACGATGATTTACTGCAAATGCACTACAAACACAAGGAGGAAAACTACATGCGTTAAAAGTATTGATTTTTTTTATTAAGCGTCATCTTAAACATTTTAGTTTCTCTTTTAATATAATTGACATGTAATTTAGTTGTTACTAAATCACTTCTTTTTTTAAAAGCGCAGTTCCTACGTGTATCTATTGACACTTAGTATGTGTCTGTTGTAGAAGCCGTGTCAACTACCACACTGGTTTTGTGGTTACTTAGATGACGTACATGTTATGCATTATATTCCAGAACCTAATGAGACTGTACCAGGCTGGTCCAAAAAAAACCCAAGGCATTTATTGTTAAATATATTTTTAGGATAAATTCTCGTTTGATTTGTTTGTAGTATTTTCAATTTGTTTTCTTATTATTAGTCAGAGGGCTACGTGATGTAAATATAGAGTTGTATACCGTCTTTTGGGGATATTCTGCTTATATTGCTTTTTGTTGTAAAAAAAATAACATTATTGGTGATAATTGAGAAATAGCTTATATGATTTGTAACCGAGAAGAAAACACACGTAGACTGGAATCGAGTGGTCGTATCTGTTATTTGACGTGCTGTGTTGTCCCGCGTGTCGCGTAGAAGGCGCAATAAACTGTGTCATGCGTCAAAAGTGTGCGTTGTGCCCTGAATAGCCACGCACGAATCACACGTTCAACGACAACACACAGTGTCGGGGTTACCACAGCGTATCGCCTGAACAGTCTGCTGGGGCAAGTGCTGTTCGCGAGCGCCTATGAAGGCCGGCACGGTGGCACACGAGGGGGTAGCCAGCGCCTCGTCCGGCCGGCCACCTTTGTGTCTCCGATGCCGATGTTTAACACAGCCCCACCAGGTACCCATTTAAGGCCGAGCCGACCTTGGGGAGGCCCAGGACCACCGCTCCCCTCACGTCACGCACACACACCAAGCGCTCCACACAGTACTGGATGCTGTTCGGTGGCTTACAAGTGCTGTTAGCGAGCGCCTATGAAGGCCGGCACGGTGGCACACGAGGGCGGTGGGTGTCAGGGCGGCCTTGGACGAGCTTCTGCCCGCAACTGGCTCCCTGGGCGAAGCGCGCAGTCCCCACCCCCACACCCCCACAGCACGAGGGCAGCTCCAGGCTGAGGGGTGTTTGGCAAACTGGGAAACATTTCGACCCTTTTTAAATCCTTCATATTAAGTTCACTTGCTTGCTTGCTTGCGCGCTTACGACCGTGCAAATCTTTCGGTCGTTTTTAACCCACTTCCCGTGATCCAAGCGAGCTGACATTTTGCACACAGACTCGTTGTGCGTGACAATTAATTTTCGTGAATTTTTTTTTACATAACTTTACACTTTTTAGGGAAAAAAATATTATATTTAATTACCAATTGCTTAATGGTGGCAGGCAATCATCTGACCCATAGGTGGCAGCCATCTCAAGCCAGAGGACGAGAGGACTCTAGCCGCGACGCATATAAAGGATTTATAGTGAAAAACTTTGTTTTTACGGGTTAATTTTTTACGTTTAGTGTGTGTTTTTTAAGCGTATCTTTTTTTTAAACAGAGGCGTACTTATTACGTTTTGTACGTCCGTCCGTCTGACCAATACATTCTCAGAGATGTTGAGAAGTGAATTATAATTCATATTCCCTCTGTACACGCACGGGAATTGAAATAATGACATCTTCATTTTTTTATTTGTATTTTCATCATTTGTATTTTTCCCCCTCGAATTTGGCGCCCCATTTAACTCGGCGAACTAGGCAATCCCGGGCCACCCCTGGGTGGGTGGCCAGCACCATGCCCGGCCGCCTTTGTCTCCCTAGTGGCGAAGTTCACACATTGCATGAGATACTCATTTGAGGCTGAGATAATCGCCACTGGTATTGGCCGTGAGTGGGAATCGAACCCGGGTCGCCAGGTTCATAGTGCAGCACGCTAACTGCTACACTACCGCTCCCCACACAAGCACACACACAGACAACTACACAAGCACACCACCAGATGATGGCTCCAAGCACCTATCCTCCACCGGTGTGTCTGGGTGATGGCATTCAGACGCCGCGGTAACCCCGGCCACAGAATTCCCTAAACCACATTGCGCGATTACCAAACATCGGGTGCGTGCAGCGAGCAGGCGACTTAATGAGGTGATCGCGAGAGGGCGCCGTGGCTGCTGGAGGAGTCACGAGGGCTGGGGTTGAGACGCGATGCTCGAGGTCTTGTGCTTGTTGTAGAGAACGTAGAGAATCTTCATGGCGGCTTTGGCATCGACGTCCACGATCTCTGCAGGGAGAGACTAGCTCGTGACGGCTCGCCGTGGGACAGCGGAGAGAGAGAGAGAGAGTTGCTTCTCCCAACGTGAGGAGGGGTGGGTGCAACTCGGCGAAAAGACTCGAGTCGCCCCGGCCAACGCACATCCGAGGTGGAGACCTCCATCCGTTTGCCTGAGGCCCACGTGAAAATTTAGGGCAATGCCCATTCTAGATTTGAAGCTTTCGTGACTGCATGGATTCATATTCTTAGGTTTTTTTCGGTTAAGTCACGTAGGTAAAAATTTTAAATTAATAAAAGTAAAATAAAAAATAAAATAAAAATCACGACGTTTCGGAGGCAACACAAGCTTCCGTCTTCAGGTGGAACCGTCACAGCACGATAGCTATATCAAGTGACTTGTCTGTAAACCCATCTGTGACTTGATACAGCTATCGTGTTGTGACGTTTCCACCTGAAGACGGAAGCTTGTGTTGCCTCCGAAACGTCGTGATTTTTATTATTTTATTTTTTATTTTACTTTTATTAATTTAAATGTTTTACCTACGTGACTTTACCGAAAAAAACCTAAGAATATGGCAATGCTCATTCTTGGAGACTCGAATACCAAGCAAGTGCTGTGATCGCCCCGACCATCGGGAGCTTAACTTCTCACTGAATCATTTTCTTGGTCACTGGTAGACTGGGAGTGCCCACGTCGTTTGTAGCTGCAGTCAAATTGAGAGGTATTCTGGACGTCGTGGTGTGATGGCCTGGACAGATCCAGCTCGAATTAATCTCTGGCCAGAGTACGTGTAGGTGAAGGTGAGATTTTATAGTGGAAGGCAATCTCAACTGAATTATCTATGCCTTTGCACTTTTTTACACGGATTAATAATAACAACAATGTGATGTATACATCGCAAAACTCTTCATTGGGATGTTTTAGCTTTGCGTGTCAGATTTGTGCCAGAAAGGCACCGCATGTTAACCACATATAAATGGACTCGACTATGTTTGGCCAATTCCACTTTAAGGACAGTATTCCTCACGTGGAAGAAAACAGACACTGTCTTTCCGACAGACCTGTTCTTCACCTGAGGACGGCTGCTTGCAGTTGTGGCCGAAACGTCGTGAGAACTATTTTATATGTTTTATTTTTATTATTTATTATTTCCCTTCTACGTGACTTTACCGAAAGAACCAAGAAGAACAAAAAAGGTTTCCGAAAGGGCGTTCGGCTCTCCAAGTCACCGAACGCAAAGCGTTTGTGTGTTCCGTGCTTCAACGTGTGGCCCTGCTTGCGTTACCTTCCGGCTGAACGGGTGACATTGGGTTCCCGTCGTCTTCCATGAGTTCCAGTGCCAGTTTCACGTTGTGCACCTGCGGTAGTAACACACGAGGAAATATGCACAAACAAGAGAGCAAAAACAAAGCAGAACATTGGATTTTTCCTTACGGAGCTGTGACCCCGAAATGTGACCATTTTTCGAATCGCTCACAATGTGAAGAATTACGTTCCTCTTATAAAGTACGAACAGAACGACTTCATGTCATAAACATTTCAATATTTGATATTTGCCCCAGGAAACGACACCCATATAACCTTTCTTGAAAGCAAACGAATCACTCGACTGAGATATCACCAACCATGTGGCTAAAACAATGATTCGCTGTATGTGGACATGATTTGTTGAATTTCTGACTGGCCCACACAGTGAGAAATGTCACCTTTTGCTCTCTTGACTCGGGGCTCAGGTAGTAGCTGTGGAGAGGGACAAAGTACCCGCTCAGCTGGCCAAGCAGTAGCACCAGCATCACTCCATCTGCAAACTTGATGTGGACACGGTCGCACCAACGTAACAACAACAACCGCCATTCGCCACTAAGTGGCGGTGACATCACCAGGGCGCTTGTGTCAGGCTAGGTGCACTTTAAAGCCACGTGAAGCGTCTAACGCCCGCTGGCAGGAGGTCACGAGACAGACCCAGGTGCCGTGGGTTGACTGACTGAGACACAGACACACATGCACACACACACATATAAAAGTAATCATATAAAAACACAAATATACGCAGACATACACACAAAGACAAAGATCTCCCGTATTGCCTTAACAGACTGTTGGGGCAATTGCTGTTAGCGAGCAGCACCTATGAAGGCCAACACAGCACACGAGGGTGTGTGTGTGGCCCACAGGCAGCACCACGCCCAGCTGCCTTTGTCTCCACAATGGTGATGTTTAATGCACAACACCAGGTACTCATTTAAGGCTGAGCGGACCTAGGGGAGGCCCAGGTCTGGTTCGTTTTTCTCAACCGATGTTGACCTCGAGTGGGAATCGAACTTGCGACGCCGGGTTCGGAAATCAGTGTGCGAACTACTACACTGCCTCGCAGACACCACTAACAACTGATTGCTGTTCACCGTTAATTGGTGGTGATGTCACCACGGTGCTTGTGCCAGGCTAGGTGCACCTTGAAGCCACGTAGATTGTCGAAGGCTCGTTGGCAGGAGGTCACGGGACAGACCTAGGCGCCGTGGGTTGACTGACTGAGCTGACTGGCAGATGCACCACCTGTGACCTCCACTGTGCCAACTCGCTGCGTTCAAGCCGCCCGGCGCTCTGCTCGTTGTTGTGTTTGTTTTTCCTCTGCACGCTGTTGTTGTTGAAGGGCGACATTCTCCAACTCGCCGACAGCGTCCTTCACGCGAGCCTCCTCCACAGAGGCTGATTTTGCACTGCTGGCACCAGTCATCGGCAAGTCCACCCAGCTCCCCATCCTCGTGTACCACATCAGTCCACCTCTTCTCGAGCCTGTTCCGCGCCCATTTAGCCCCCTCTATCCGACAAAACAGAAGCTGCTTGGGCATGCGGTGACTGGGAACGCGGGCTACGTGACCCAGGCAACGTAGCCTCGCCTACCGGAGGAGCTCACTGATGGTACTGTGTCCAGATCTTTTAAGGATGTGTGAGCTAGCACAATCAAGTCAGATTAAACCACAGGAGGGATCATATGCAGGGTAGCCTGAATGTTTCAAACTGGCACAGATGTTCCTTTAAAGAACTCCTCGTTTCGCAAGCATAAATAATGGAGGGTATAACGGTGACTGAGAAGACCCGGAGTTCCATACGGAACGATAAGCCAGGTAGCTTCCATACAGCGTTATGCAGCTGATGAAAAAATGATGCCGCTCTACTAATTCTGAGTGAGACCTCCGCTGCCAAACTGGAGCTGGCCATAAGCACACTGCCCTGGTATGGAAACGTCTCCATTCTCTCCACAACTATCCCATCACTCGTGAAGAGTGGAGGAGGGATGGGTGTGGTGGGCGGATTATAATTGATGACAAAGCACCCAAGCAGGTGCTGGGCCAAGGCAGCCGCATGAGTCAGAGTCCTGGACCTCACCCATTTCCCCCCGGCATCGGGAGGAGGGGACTACGATGGCAACCCCAGCTGCAAGCGATGGTGACATTTTTGCTTGCAAGGTTTATCGGCTAGCCAAGACCAGGCTATTGTGATTTGAATTGGATCCGAGGTGGACGCCCACTCCTGCAGTGGAAGAATGGCAGGTCAGTGGGCAGACACACATACACAGAACCAAATATATACAGTACATATGTAAAGTAGGAGCCGACACCAGATTGCAGGGGTCTCGTCCTTTATTCTTTTCCTTCCATCCACACCTGTCCCCCAGCCGTCCCAATCTCGTTCCCGCCAAAGGCCCCCTCTTCCCGCCCGTTCTCTCCTTATATCTCTTCGATCACCCCTCCCACTAACCCATCTATTGGTGGGAATCCTTCCCCTGACACCCCTACATCACCCCCCCCCCCGGAGAAAAAAATAACCGTCCTCGGTTCTGCCTCCCCCATGGACCATTTAAATCTCCCCATGCCTCCCCCCACTGACAGTGACGACAGCCCTTACCCCCCCCACAACCATACAATGCAACATAACACAACGAAATCAATTGCGCGGCCTGCCCAGGTCTCCAGCCAGCATCCCGTAACAGCCCGGACATCCACAGGCAGCAGATGACCGTGGCGGCCCCCTCCTTCGAAGGCCCTCTCGTCGCGGTCCCTGGTTCGGTGGTGCTGGTGTCGCCTTGCCCGGCGCCGCTGTCTCTCCGGCCCCCGCTCGTGCCGCCGCTCCGTCAGGCCTCACATGGGGTGCTGTAGGTGACAAGGGAACACAGGGCACCGAACCCCCTGCCGGTCGGTGCGTGGTGGTCGGCGACCTTGGCCTGGGTAGGGATGATGATGATGTTGGCAGTGATGTTGGTGGTGATGTTGGTGAAGATGACGGTGGAGAGATGTATGGCTTAAGGCGGGTGGGGTGTACAAACCATCGTCGCTTACCCAGTTGGACCTGGACGCACTGCGGTCGGAGTGCTTTAATGACCTCGACCGGCCCTTTCCAGGGTCGGTGCAGCTTTGGTGAGAGGCCAACCGGCACCTGAGGACAGTGTAGCCATGCCTGGTCCCCGACTTTGAAGGGCTTGGCTGTCACTGTCCTCTCCCGTATCCGTACATTACTCTCTTGGCTCGTGGCCGATGCGGCCTCGGCTGCTTGGCGGGCCTCTCTCAAATAAATGAGGGAGGTCTTTAGTGCCTTCGGCCATGCGTCGGCTCTTGCGGGAATGTCCGTCAACTGCACCTCAATAGGCGGAACGGGATCCCGTCCGTACATCAGGAAAAACGGCGAGAACCCCGTCGCCGCGTGTGGGGCCACCCTGTACGCCGCTAAGACAGATGGAATGTGGAGGTCCCAGTCGGAATGGTTTTCGTCCACCACTTGGGACAGCATGGCCGCTATGGTGCGGTTAAGCCGCTCTACCATCCCATCGGTCTGGGGATGATACGGAGATGTTCGGACCTTTTTAGTGCCCAGGATAGAGCAGACGTCCTTCAATAGCTGTGAGGAGAAATTCCTGCCCTGATCCGTGAGCAACCGCTCCGGTGCCCCCTTATCAAGGACATAGCCTCCCACGAAGGCATCGGCGATGGTCTGTGCCGTTTGGTCCGGGAGGGCCCACGCCATCGGCCACCTCGTGCAGTACTCGACTCCGACCAACAGGTATTTATTTCCCCGTGGCGTGACCGGCAGTGGTCCCAGGATGTCCAACGCAACCAATTCGTTGACCCTGGTCACCGTGATGGGCTGTAGGGGCGCCCGGCTTACCCGGGGTGGCGGCTTTCGCCGCGCACATTCGACGCAGGTAGCGACCCATCGATGCACATCAGCGGTCATACCTGGCCAAAAGTACCGACTCTGTAATGTGTACAGTGTCTTCCGCCCCGCCAGGTGCAGCAGCTGGCGGCCGTGTACGTCCATAACCAATTGTTGACGCAGCGACTCCGGAACTACCAGGCATCGTCGGCGCCCTGTCGGGTCCCATCGCATGAGGAGGTCCTCCCATACGATGTACTCCTCCCCCCCTGCCTCTGCTGAGGCGCGTAGCGTTCGCAGTGGGGCTTCCTCCAGCTGTAGCCGTCGCCAATCGTCCAAGGTCAGCCCCAGGTCGTGGTCGGTCAGCTGGACCTCACCCTGTGCGTCCTCCGCCGTGCGTACGGGAGCGATGACTGTCCCCTCCGGCCTCGCCTCCTTGCAGCGTGCCCCGCCTGTGGTGCATGCACAAGGGCCCTGGGGCGCCAGTCGGGACAATGCGTCTGCGTTGGCATGTCTGGTCCCTTTGCGATGCACTACTTGGTACCTGTACTCCTGCAGGCGCTCTATCCATCTGGCCAGCTGGCCCGAAGGCTGGTCGATGCGGAGCGAATACTGCAAGGCCGCGTGGTCAGTGCGGACCGTAAATTTGCGACCATACAGGTAGGGTCGAAATTGCTGCACGAAGTGAACGACTGCCAGGAGTTCCCTACGTGTGACGCAGTAGCGCTGCTCCGCTGATGAAAGCACGCGACTACCATAGGCGATAACCACCTCGCGACCCTGCTGGACTTGCGACAAAACACTGCCGATGCCCACATCGCTGGCGTCCGTGTCCAGGATAAAGGGGAGGCCAAAATCCGGAAAAGCCAATGGTGGTGCATCTGTCAGACGTGAGCGCAGCTGCTGGAATGCCTCTTCCTCCAGAGGGCCCCAATAAAACCTCTGGTTCTTCGCCGTCAACACGTGCAAGGGCTTGGCAATGGTTGCGAAGTTGGGTACGAACCGGCGGTAATAAGAAACGAAACCCACAAACCGGCGTACCTCTGGAACCGTTGTGGGAACAGCCCAGGCCCTCACGCAGGCCGTCTTTTCCGGGTCTGTAGCCACTCCAGACTCACTGACGACGTGGCCCAAGTAGCGTACCGACGACTGCATAAGGTGGCACTTCGACGGCTTGAGCTTCAAGTTCGCGTTCCGGAACCGCAGGAATACCTGACGTAATCGGTCAATGTGTTCCTCGAATGATCGGCTGAAGACAATGACGTCATCCAGGTAGATGAGGCACGTTTCCCATTGGAGGCCTGCTAAGGCCAACTCCATTATGCGTTGGAACGTCGCCGGCGCAGTCTGGAGGCCCATAGGCAGGCAGTTGAACTCGAACAGGCCCTGTGGTGTCCGGAACGCTGTTTTAGGCCGGGAGTCCGCGTCTAGTGGGACCTGCCAGAACCCGGACAATAAATCCAGCGTACTGAAAAATTTTGCTCCCGCCAGTGCATCCAATGAGTCGTCAATACGTGGTAGGGGATATGCGTCGGCCAGCGTGACGGCATTGAGGCGTCGGAAGTCCACACAGAATCTCAGTGACCCGTCTGACTTCTTGACTAGGACCACCGGTGCCCCCCAGGGACTCGAGGATGGAGAAATTATGTCGGCCCGCAGC